ATTATTAGTTAGTAATTATTTCATACATACACACATATAACGTGACATTCTGTTCCACCCTTCTGCGGTCTGTGCCCCTATCTGGCAACCCCCAGAAAAAAATCCTAAACCCACCCCTCTCAAAGAGAGAACAGAATAATGGTGAAAAGATTAGGTAAGAGAAAAATTGATTCAGAATGCAGGGCATTTAAGCTGCAGTGGACAAACCATTATTTTTTGTTCAATGCAAAGAAAAGGCTGTCTGTCTCATCTGTCAAGAGGCGGTGGTGGTATTCAAAGAATACAATCTGCGGCGACACTATGAATCCTGTCACAAAGACAAGTATGATAGCTTGCAAGGCCAAATGTGAGCAAACAAACTCTCAAAGCTAAAAAGATGGACTGTTAGCTCAGCAGAATACAAACTGTGAAGAACCCAGAGAGGGTTATTTGATTGTGCTTTCTGGAAAACAATAAATTTTTACATTTAGGCACTCCTGCAATAGTCACACTTTTTCTGTTACAAACTGACTCTGGCCCCCCACCAAAAGTTATGTGGCCCTCACAGGAAAAAGTTTGGGGACCCCTGATTTAGACTGTTTCACCTCACTATCAAGACCATTCCACAATCGAACACCCTTAACTGAAATACATATTTCCAACAGCACAGTTCTGAAGTATTTTTTTTAAAGATCACAGTACGTTTTAAATTATATTCACTTTCCCTTTCAATAAATCTGAGTTGAATATTGTTTGGTAACATTATTTTATGTGCTTTATACATAAATTTTAAAATATTGTACTCAATCAAATCATGAAGTTTCAGTATATTCAGTTGTACAAATATTGGGTTTGTATGATCTCTGTATTTAGCTCCAATAATAACTCTAAAAGCTCTTTTCTGTAAAAGAAAGACTGTTTTGGCATTACCCCTCACTTCCACACAATACATCAGATATGCTACAATCAGTGAGTTATACAAAATATACAAAGCCTTATTATTTAATACATCCTTTACCTTATTTATCACTGCAGTTGTTTTACATATTTTACCTTTTATATAGTTTATATAAGATGACAAACGTTCATCAATAATAACACCCAAAAACTTTACTTCTTCTGTTTTTTGTATTTCAGATCCTTCAACATACAAATGATCAGCACTTTTTGTACTACTAAAAAATATCATAAACCTTGTTTTACCAATATTTAATGATAATCTATTACTATTAAACCATTTTTTTTAATTTTTATAAATTCACTTCCAACCACCTGTAACA